CAGCCCAATACCCCACTCCACCAGCACTCCACTCCAGCCCAACACTCCACTCCAGCCCAACACTCCACTCCAGCCCAAAACTCCACTCCAGCCAGCACTCCACTCCGGCCTAGCACTGCACTCCAGCCAACACTTCACTCCAGCCCAGTACTCCACTCCAGCCAAACACTCCAATCCAGCCACCACCCCAATCCAGCCCAACACTGCACTCCAGCCAGCACTGCACTCCAGCCTAGCACCCCACTCCAGCCCAGCACCCCACTCCAGCCAGCACTCCACTCCAGTCCAGCACTCCACTCCACCAGAACTCCACTCCAGCCCAACACTCCACTCCACCAGCAGCCCACTCCAGCCCAGCACTCCACTCCAGCGCAGCACTCCACTGCAGGCAGCACTCCACTCCATCCCAACACTCCACTCCAGCCCTGCAGTCCACTCCAGCCCAGTACTCAACTCCACCACATCTCCACTCCAGCCATAACTCCACTCCAGCAAGCACTCCACTCCACCAGCACTCCACTCCACCAGAACTCCACTCCAGCCAGAACTCCACTCCAGCCCAACACACCACTCCACCAGCACTCCACTCCAGCGCAGCACTCCACTGCAGGCAGCACTCCACTCCATCCCAACACTCCACTCCAGCCCAACACTCCACTCCAACCAGCACTGCACTCCAGCCAGCACTCCACTCCAGCCCAACACTCCATTCCAGCCCAGCACTGCACTCCACTACAGCCCAATACCCCACTCCACCAGCACTCCACTCTACCAGCACTCCACCAGCACTCCACTCCAGCCCAACACTGCACTCCAGCCCAATACTGCACTCCAGCTCAGCACTCAACTCCAGCCCAGCACTCCACTCCGGCCCAACACTGCACTCCAGCTCAGCACTCCACTCCAGCCAGCACTCCACTCCAGCACTGCACCCCACTCCAGCCCAGCACTGCACACTACACTACAGCCCAGCACTCCACTCCACCAGAACTCCACTCCAGCCATAACTACACTCCAGCCAGCACTGCACTCCACCAGAACTCCACTCCAGTCCAACACTGCACTCCACTAGCACTCCACTCCAGCCCAGCACTCGACTGCAGGCAGCACTCCACTCCATCCCAACACTCCACTCCAGCCCAGCAGTCCACTCCAGCCCAGCACTCCACTCCAGCCCTGCAGTCCACTCCACTACAGCCCAATACCCCACTCCACTCCAGCCCAGCACTCCACTCCAGCCCAACACTGACTCCAGCCCAACACTGCACTCCAGCTCAGCACTCCACTCCAGCCAGGACTCCAGCCCAGCACTGCACTCCACTACAGCCCAGCACTGCACTCCACTACAGCCCAGCACTGCACTCCACTACAGCCCAGCACTGCACTCCAGCCCAGTACTCCACTCCAGCCCAACACTCCACTCCAGCTCAGCACTCAACTCCAGCCAGCACTCCAGCCCAGCACTGCACTCCAGCCCAGTACTCCACTCCAGCCCAATACTCCACTCCAGCCCCAAACTCCACTCCAGCCAGCACTCCACTCCGGCTCAGCACTGCACTCCAGCCAACACTCCACTCCACCAGCACTCCAATCCAGCCACTACCCCACTCCAGCCCAAAACTCCAC